CGCTGCCATGCTCCAGCATAATTCTTAATCGATTCGCTGAAAAACACCGATTCGATCTATTTTCACCCTGAGGGTTTATATGACCTCTGCTGTTGCAAACCCTCGTAAAAAAATCTACTCGCTCCCTGTACGGAGCCAAGGAGATTTTGGTTGTGGATGAGCGTTTCTGAGCATTGATTTTATGTATGTGTCAAAATGACTATGAAACCTTCTTACTGATTAAACTATTTATTTTCCTAGAATAAATATGTAACAGTAAAAATTTAATTTAGTCACTATACAAAAAACACTGAGTACAACGTCAACTAATAATTCACTATGTTTACATAGTACACAAAAATATAGTATTTCCTATCATTGTGAATGATTTGCCAATACAAAATTAACGATATATTTTTTCTATTTTTATTTTACACACAATAGATTTACATGGTAATCATTTCATACACTAGATTAAACCCATTGTCTTTTTAATAATATGGAATTAATTTTTACTATTAATTAAAAACAATTAGTCTTAATATAATAAATACAGTTTTATTATTAAGATAAAATTTATTAAATTTACTCCCTTTTTTTACAAATAAACCTATAGGTTTTTGTGAGGGAAAAACCTTATCAGAACAAAAAAAGAAAAATTGGTCACAACTTTGAACTTATTTGAACAGACATAAGCATTTTCATAAAATAATACTTCCTTTCAATCTACTTCCTTAATTAACGTCATTATACAGGACAAACTTAAGTGTTATATCTTTTAAAAAGTAAAAGTGTACAAATTGAAAAATATAAATTGTAAATCTTTATCAATTTATCAGTCCGCAAAACAAGCAAAGAATGCCCGAGTTCTGGAATAGGTATGATTAATTATCGTCCTATTCCTAAGGAGTGTGTAATCCTTTCCAACTGTAATTTATGTGGCATTAACTGAGCCGTCCAGTCACGCCCGGCATCTACCCCCGTTTTTTTCCTTTTTCCTTCCTACTTCTTTTATTTTTCAAAAACCTCTCATATCGTTTCCTCTTTTTTCTTTCCTTTCTTCCCCCTCTACGGTTTTAAAAATATTATTTATCTCCCTAGTCGAATAACCGAACAGGCCCTTTTCGAAGACGGCTAAGGGAGAGCTCGGGAAGAGATGGAAAGACATTTTTCCCAACCTGCAATACATCAAGGGGTGAAGGCTCGGCCGGAGGAGGGGTTGATGCTTTCTTAATTAACTCGGAGGCATTTTTCCAATTCTCTTATTCCCCATCTGGAGTTCCACCCTTTATTATAATTCTTCTTTTGTTTTTACCCCACTTCCACTTATCCTTGTTTGATCAATAACAAGTTGAACAAGGATTCTGAAACTCCTTGATTGGAGAGGCCATCTTGCAACACAAATTTTACAAAAAAAAACATTGTTCAAAAAATAGTTCCTAACAAAATCTCAATAACAAATCTATAAAATTGACTATACATTTCTAATTTGTAATTACTGGACTATTTATTTATTATTTATTATTCTTATAAAAATATAAGCCTTACATATATATCATGCATATGTGCGTTATGTACATATTGTAAACATTATCATGCATTAAACTGTTTATAGTAATTTATTTTAATACTTAAAATTATTCAATCTTATACCAAGGTTAGTAGGATTTTATGTGTACTGTAACAATTTATAAACCGTCGATTTCAATAATTATTTATTTTAAAGCTTATTGATATTCTTTCATACTTAGTCTTCTAAATAGAAATTGAGGCAGAAATAAAAATACAGAAAGCGTATTAGGAAGAATAAATACTCTGAAATAAATTACAAATAAATTCGTAGATTATGGGAGAGAGAAGAAATATGGCTAGATAATTTACGGATATACATTGAGCAAGAAATATAAATAAATAGACAATGCTAAAACGGCAAACTAGGCAGATAAGATAGATAGATTGGTAAATAGCTCAACCGTAAAAATAAAGTGTGAGAGATAAAGAAAGGTGAAATAATGAAGAGGTTAGATAGACATTGAGGCAGCGAAAGAATAAAAAGAGAATGTTTTAACAAGCATAAACTGGCAAATAAGATGTATAGAAAGAAAAAGAGGAAGAGACAGAGATTGATTGATTGATATCGCTTTATTTACATAATTTCTCAAGATTTGGTCTCGAGGACCACTCTTACATCTAAAGAGAAAGAGAGAGAGAGAGAGAGAGAGAGAGAGAGAGAGAGAGAGAGAGAGAGAGAGAGAGAGAGAGCGAGTGAGAGTGAGTGAGTGAGGGAGAGAGGGAAAGAGAAACATTTCTTTTGAAACTTCCCTTTTATTCCATTCCTATACATTTTATACACAATTTTCTTCAGTGTATTACCAATGTTTATCATTCATGAAAGGATAAAGCATTAATCACGGTATGGCTAAAGTAATTACAGTGGACTTCTTTTTAAGAATTCTTATATCTTGAAGGGAATTTAAATGAAAAATAAATCAAATATTATCATTAAAAAAACAATAATATGTATATATATATANATATATATATATAAACTTATACAATAGTACTATGGATGGGATGAATTTTTTAAATTTTATTTATTCATTTTATTTAGAATTCGTTGTTTCATGAAAAACAAACAATCTTAAGCTTTATAGTTTTATTAGATTTATGTAAATTCTTCCTGTAAAAAAAGTATATAAAATAAAAAAGAAATAGCAAATAGCGTGAAGAATCAGTATAAAGGGATAACTGGGAGGAAGAGGGAGTCGGAGTGAGATCAAGGATGGTTTGGGAAGGGCATTGCGGATGAGAGGGGAATCTCCTGGGAACTAGTGTCAGCTGAGCAACTCTTCTTCTTTTCTGCCAGCTATCCCCCTCAGCACATTTATCTTCTTCACAAATGACGTAACGTCTTCTTATATGGCCCACGTTCTATTCAAAAATGTACAGTCGAGACGTAGTTCATAGAGTTCGGAAGTTTGCAGGCCGACTGTACCCAGGAGGAACCAGATCCAATTCACCTTATGAATATAAATGATTTTTTGAACCGATATTCTTTTTTTTTATAATCTTTTTTAAACCAGCCTTCCTGAAGACTTCCTGACCGGGCGGTATTTACATTTCTCAATACTTCAATTAAAAGTAGTTTAAAAAAATATATCCCGAAATAACTCGGTCGAGGGGATGAACGTGCGCCCGGCGGGGGTCGAGAGATAAATATAATTCAATAACCGATACGGAAAGTGACAGTTAATTACATAAAGTAAATATATCATCGATTTAACATTTTGCCAGATTAAAATCCCATTTTGCCTACAGGCGTAACTCACAATTTATCATTTACTGCCACGCTTTAATTTGTTAATTGATGATGTGTTCTGTAACATTTTAATGTTTTGCATTGGATAGAAAATCCAGTTTGACCCGTTTCTTCACTTCAATGACAGGTTGTTCCTAGAAAAAATAAATAAACAATCATTTTATAAATATTGTCTTTCATCAAGAGACTATTTGCAAAATCAATAAAGGAAAATAATGACAACAGACTCAACCATTCAAAATTTTAAATGTTAAATTACAAGCAGAAATACGATTATTCCACATTACGTTTTACCGATTTATCAATCAATATAATAAATATAAGAGTTAAATTATTAAAATCATTAACATAATTGCATAACATTGTGTCTTTGTGATTGTAATTGAATATTTTGCTAATTTATTATTGATTTAATTGATCTGTGAGGTTATGAATATTGGGCAGTAGTTCGTCTTCACATTTTCTACTAAATAATGCCATTTAGACGTCCAATAAGAAAAAAAGTTTTCTTATTTCGACATGTAGGTAGAAAATTTGAAGTGCTATACTGGGATTCGAACTTAAAAATGCTAGTGTTGCAAATATGAGTCGGGCACAGGTTTATGTTCTAAATTATTATCGACTAAAAGTGAAGTAATTCCCTTCAGAACGAAGACTTAATCGTTCAATTTTCCGTTGGCTGTCTCAGACGGAGGTCAGAACTACTTTATAATAGATTTTTCCAAATAAAATAAATGTGTGGTGACTAGTGACCGTTAATCGATAATTATTCAGAAATCGTGAGATGCGGTCTGGTGTGATGTAGGTTTCAGAACTCTCAACACGACACGCAAGAATGGCACAATTACTCAGAAGACAAACACTTTGAGCCCTGAAGATGATCTCAATAAAGATCGAAACGTTGGCACGATAAAGAAAATGTTTTTCTGATACCTACATCACACCAGACCGCATCTCACGCTTTCTGAATAATTAAATAAAATAAAATTACTTTAATAAAATTTCAATGATTAAGCCGGGATCCGAAGCCAGGACCACTAGCGGTTAAATACGATTCGGAACGGATTTAATTTTACTTTCTGAACAGCAATAGACTAAAAGTAAAATAATTCCTTTGAAGGTAGAACCTTTTTAAAGTAATTTTTCGAAATTAATATCAAATAAAATTCTAATTTCTATGCCAGTATTCGAATCCAGAACTGATTATTTTATTATTGCTTGGTGTTTTATTTTTTGAACTATAGTAGACTAAAATTAAAATCATACCTCTCATACAGAAGCATTAAACGTCCAACACGCCCTTCACCTCGGATGAGGGGGCAGAACCACGTTACAATAATTTTTCCAAATAAAATCCTTAAATAAAATTCCAAAGGTTCCAATTGAACCCACAAACGGTGGCGTGGTAAATAAGATTCGTAACGATTATAGTTTTTTTTCTGACCTATAATAGACTAATTTCCGGTACCTTTCAAGCATCATTGCTATCTGTGATTTTTGTAGAATCTAGTGGGTTGATGAATCTAGTCAATAAGGAGATAAGATCAAGAAAAGTTTACGTCTGAGGATAGGCAGACAAAACGAACTAAAAATACCAAACTAAAGGTTCATCATCCCGCAGATCTCAGGAAGAAATTTCACGTTACGATTTTTGATCATTATTCTTGCAATTTTGTGACCCGAAACTCCGTATTTGTTACAGAGAGGAAACGAGGGCGACAGACGTACACCCGCTACCAGACGCTGGAGCTGGAGAAAGAATTCCACTTTAACAGGTACCTAACGAGGCGGCGGAGGATAGAAATCGCCCACGCCCTTTGCCTGACAGAAAGGCAAATAAAAATCTGGTTCCAGAACAGGAGGATGAAGTGGAAGAAGGAGAACAAGACGAAAGGCGATCTCGTCACGAACGAAGGCAGTGACCTGTCGCCGCAGACGTCGCCGCAATGAAACGAAATGTCGACGCCTAACCCATTCAATTAGTTAGACGCGTCGAGGACCTGTTAAATACTCCGGTGCCAATTTTTTAATTTATATTTATTTCGTCATAAAAGCGCAACCAAAGGTTACTTTTAAAAGGAGATTTTGGACTCTGAGTGTTAAATTTAGTTAAGAGACACGAGTGACTCTTTGAGTGTTGTTCGGGTTTTCGTGGCGTTGCATTGCGCATAAAGGAATTGCATAGTATTTCACCCAATTTTTTGTTTTAAACAACAAATCAGGAAATATTATTTTACAAAAAATGATTTAATAATTAAACAGATTATCAGTGAAGGTCAGGTAAGGATAAGAACGAAAATCTACTCCCTTGACTCAGACCACTCATTCATCCTTATAGTTACCAACATCACTGGGGTCTTGGCCAATAAAATATATAACAAAATAATGGCTCAAAAGACAATATACATGGATAGAATATTGTATAGTTTTCAATTTTCTTCTTTTTTCTTAGCTTTTCTTTACGCCTCTGTATAAAATATTTAAAAAAAATAAATGGAGCAAAATACAAAAATTGTGAAACGGAGATACGTAAGAGTGCCGTCTCATGTATTCTAATTGTAAACAAGATATTATTTTAGAACGCTATCATAGATCTCTTTAAAAACGAATGAATGTGCGAATGAATGAACCAATAATGTTTTTAGGCACGAAAGTAATTATAGCATGTACCTATTTAGATGTTCGTATTTGTATTTAAAGAAAAAAATAAATAAACCAACAGACATTTAAAAAAGTCGTGTTTCGTGTCAATATAGAGATTATAAAATTATATATAGTATTTATAAAATTATATGAAAAAATGATAAATCTTGGCATAAGGTGTCCTCTTTTTTAAAATACTTTTGGACGCCAGAAGTTCAAATACGTAAATAACGGCCTTCTTTGAAACTCTTGTATACGAAAAGTTCAATTAATAATACATAAATATGTTCTATCCAAAGATTTAAATTGTTTAAAATCAAGCACACACAGTTAAAAGCACCTTTAATGTCAATATTTATATGAAAAAGTGTATATTAGATATTTTTGAAATATTTTAAAAAGTAATGAGGTGTTTTATTAATTTGTTTTCAGTTGCGTGATTTAATTTTTATTGAAGCTGTCTTTCCAGACGCGACCGCCACGATTGGGAAATTTTTTTCTGAAGTACTTAAAATTGTGTTTAATTTTGACGTTGTGGCGCTCCCCTCTGGAAAGATATTTGCCGTTTGGTCTGATATCCGTTTTGCGGCAAAATAATTGATTCCCCCCTCACAAAGAAGCAGAAGCAAAATATAATGAATCAGAAGTTAAATTTTATGGAGTGGAGTGCAAGTAAACATGTTTAAAAACAACAATAAAAACAATTGCAACGGCAAAAAATAACCAAACAGTTCCTGGAAATAAAATTATATTGTATAAAATTGCTAATGGATTATGTTTTCTTTAGCTCGGTCCTTGAGTGAGTGGATGTGTGCCGGTGGTATATTTTCTAAATAAAATCTATTAAAAAAATATACAAAAAAAAATAAACGTATAAAACATTTTTTGTCGCAATGTATAGAATTTGAATGAATTAAGGAATTATACCAACTCATGTTTGTAATTCAATACTTCATCTAGAAATATTTTATACGGTATTGAATTATATATTATATATAAATATAGTATATAATTGTGTATATGTAGAGAGTTAACTATAGTGAAAGAAACTATTATTTACCAATAGCGTTATCAGAGGAATCGAAAGTGTACAAAACGACGCTAGACACCGACAAAGACAAACAAATTTTTGTATAATATATTATTTATGTGTTTTATAGTCAGCGTGAGAAAGCAAGCAAAATTGATTTATTTTTTTGTCAATATGAAACTGTGCAGAGGATTCTGTCCGTCGGGCGTTTTTGCAAGCGTTTTGTACAACGTTCAGAAGCGTATTATTTGTAGATAGTACATTTGACATACCTCATTGTTGTTTTTATTTTTTAGTTTTATTTGTTTATAAACAAACTCCCTCGGTCCTCCCTTTTTTTTGCGTTTTCTTGTAGGGCCAAAAAAAACGTAATTACAACTTTCATCCACCCTATTTTCCTACACAATTTAGCCCTCTTACCCCATTGTATATTTATTGATATAGTCATTATAAAGTGGTCATATTTGTAAGTAAAGAAAAAAATGTAAAACCAATAATGGAATTTGTCCTATATAATTTTGTGTTTGAAGAAATATTAAAATTCTTAAAAAAATAATAAACGATATGTGGTTGAATATTGTTGTTTTATTTATGGTATCTTCCTTTTGTGATTGAACCAAAAAGTAAATAAGAAAAGTAAATGGGGTAAAATAACTTTAAAAAACAATTTTTTTTAGATAATTACATTAAAATCCGGTCCGCTAACTTTTGTTGCTTGTTTTGTTCGATATCAAGATATTTTCAATTTAGGAATAATTTAATGCATGTAAGATTAAATTTGGCTGTTAAACTACTATAAAAATAATTTTGGTTGACAGCGCAATTTTTTCAAATTTTCATTTTTTCGTTTTGATCAGGCACACACTGATTTCTCTGGAATCTTAAGAAATTTCTCCCTTTTTACGTACATCCTATTCCCAAAATCCAACATAATCGAAAGATGCTTTCCAGTCATCAACGGCTCTTCTTACACTGATCCCTGGCCATCACACAGGTGAAGGGTACTCCAAGGCAGTATCTTCTGTCCTATTCACTTTACAGTATATACCGCAGACATTTCTACTCATTCTGAAACTATTCTTGCCAATTATGCAAATCTGCCAAAGTTTGCTCTCATGAAAATGCCTCCTTACATGACTAACCATTGACCCCCCCATCTACTACAATAGTACCCAACTTCCACCTTCTTTCACCATCTAATATACTCTGATACCTTGGGCATTGAAAAATTGGACATAATTGGACCGAAATACTTGACTCATAAGACAAAACTCAACAGACGCTTCAGGCTTTTTAAAATACTGCTGGACTAAAAATCAAAAGTGCCATTATTTGGACATGCGGTGTTTCAAACAAACGGAACCACCTTTGAAGTATTCAGTCCTTACTAAAATAGTCCGAATGTTCGTCAATGCTCCTTTCTATTTATCCTATCTTACCCTTCCTAATGACCATAATATCCAATAAGTTCTTGAAGTAGTCAAAAACAGTTACTTAACCTTAGAACTGACGGTGATTAACGCCAATTCACGTAGTGGCTATTATTAAGTAGTTCCTCGTCGTTTTATATTTTTATTTTATTTTTCTTTAGTATGTTTATTATAAATATACATGTACAAAAAAGTAATATTTAGTTTTCTTAAACGCAGCAACAGGCAGATAAATTAATTTAAATGAATAATAAACTCTTACTCGTTTATCAATCATTAATATAGCAAAATAAAGATAAATAAATAAAATAATAAATAAAATAAATAAATAAGATAAAATAAATAGTAAAATAAAGAAAGGAAAAGCATATACATATATAAGAAAAGCAGCCAAAAATGTCTTAACTTTACTTCCAAACGTAATTTGTCAATGACCATTTTTTTAAATGAGATGAAGCAACACTTCGGTTTATTTCCGTCGCGAGCCCGCTCCCAGGTGGTTTTTGATTGATCACTTTCAGAAGTGTCTACATTTTGGATCTAAAAGCTCAGGATCCATCACAGGAAGTGGGGTGTGTCCCTACGAACAGCCGGCCAAGTCCATTGCCCGTCTCTTCCTATAACCCTTTCACTCTTTCCAACCCATCACCATCACTCTTTCTCACTCTCTTTCCTCCCAGCCCGTTTCACGGCGTGACACACCTTAATTAGCGGACCGGTAACAAACGCGCGAAGGGATTTTATACCAATTAATTCTCAAGACGAGTCGCTGTAGATGCAAAACGCCAAGGATAGGTGGACTTGCCAGAAATGGAAAAACGGATTGCCCGGGCACAAAAGGTGAGCGTCCATTTTAGCGTATTTCCATAAAAATGATCCTAATTAATTATCATTTGAAATTTGTCGTTTCAGGTGCTTCGAGCAACCCTGGATTGGATTAAGTCGCGTGTGATAGTGATCTTTCGTTAAGAATTGAGTCGCGAGTGATTTATAAGTGTTGTGTCATGATGGATATACTCCTAGGTCATCAGCCTATTTTGATTAAATCTTCGGTGAGTGACCTATTTTCATATTTATTAATCAACTTACTTTCTAGTAGTAATGAAAAGACATTTTTTTCTTTACGATTTTTTTTTTGTATTGTTTTTACCTTTACCTGTTGTAGCTAAATTCTACTATTAGTTGATAATGTTAGCAAAGGATAATAAGCAAACAAACTAGATGATGGGCCCCGTACAATGGTGACATTTTTATTGAGTGAAACATAAGATTGCCAATCTTCTTCAAAGGTTCTTTTATTCTTGCTGTTGTGGTGTTTACAGACGCGTTTTATTCCTGAGATCATAGACGATTGTTGTCGTAATTAGAACTACTCTTCGGAACATAAAATTTAATATGTATGTTTCATCATAAATTGTACAATTTAAAAAATAAAGGAAAGTTTATTGCTATAGATCGTGACTTGATTAGAATTACAGAGATGTTATGTACTACAGAAAAAGTTATTTCTCTGTTTAATTGTGATGTAGGACTTTCTGACAGGGGGAAAGGTATAACATCAATGGAAGTGATAACACAGTGGACCCAAGTTTGATTTATGTATACTAAGGGAGAATGACTTTTCCATATCGGTGACCTCCCCGGAAGCCCAGAAAGTGTGGGTTCATCAAAACGGGTCGGAGGTGGTGTAAAACGGGGATCGGGTGCCCCCTCACGGGCTCACTTGATGTGGAAGTGATAAAGAGGTCCCCCCATAAATTTTCCTTTCCGCCATTTTCAGTCCTCGTCCTCACCCCCGCCCCCAAAGGGGCCCGGCGCTTTTTGGGTTTTCCGTTTGCATCGTCGAACCTGCGACCACCCCTTCCACCCCCAGCTCCAGGGGAATAATCGCAAAATGAATATCGACCCCCTTCGCCCCGTCGCACCCTAAAACCGACACCGCCGTCGACAGAACTCGGCAACGGTTGGATTTATTACTCCCAAATACAATGCTTCCCTCTCCCAGCGCAGTGGTTAGAATGAGACCATTTTTTAAAAATGAATCGACTTTCAAGCTCAACAGAAAAGTAAAGTGTAATTTTTTTAATGTTTAATGGCTGTGATGTCATTTTTTTAAACAATTAAGACTTAAAAACCTCACATTCACTACATGACCCATGTCCTTTGTCTGTAAAGGCCTAACTATATGATCTTTCCTAAAAAATCTCCATACGACCACTTTGTTTAGGACTTTTCAGCAATTTCATTGCCAGTACGAAAGTTGTTATTACTTACCCAAATTTACCTCAAATCACACAATAAGCTAAGCATCCGTTTAGCCCATATTGATTGGTATTGTAGTATGTCGAGGCTTCTAATTTTCAACAGATTTCTGTTCTGTATGAAGGTTACGGACTAACACCGATTTTAATGAAACTTTTTGGTGATGCTAGGTCGACAAATATTACTGGTGTACGAGCGTTCTTCCCATTTTTAGCATAAAAGCCAAGACAATGTTTTAAATTGGATGGTGAAAGGAGACTAAGAAGTGGGGGTTAGTGTTTCCAAACACTGAAGACTTCTGGCGTATTGTACATTCCTAGTTCCTTATTCAATTTATCGATTCGACCTTTCTTTTATGGAGTACTAGGTCAATGACTGTCGTTCTTCAATTCCACTCTTTGTATCCCGTGTTATATCTCCATTGAGCGGTTGCTTCACATCCGAAGGTGATATGGGTGGCTGTTTTTTCCTCCTAATTGGATAATCTCCAAACGGGATCATCATTCAATATGCTCACGTTGTGTAGATGTTTTCTCAGATGCCAGTGACCGGTAAATAGTCATGAGCTATGCCCGCTCTAATTGCAGCAGCGAGTTTGCCATGCCTAGGTGTCTAGAAGAGGGTTGTTTTACCATACGCTTGCTGTGTCTATCACCTCTAGACTTCTTCTTCTCTTTGGTCTCTTTGTGGATGCATTCTGTGATGGAAGATTATGTAATTGTTTTGGTTATCCCAAGGATTCAGGGTATATATGGTCTTTCAGATTCTCATCTGGCCAGCATGTTTGCCTTTTCGTTACCCAGAATTATTTTGTGTTCTGGTACGCAAGATATCATCAGTTGTTTTCCCAGGTTTTTGGAGATTTTGGAGGCATTCACTGACTAATATTGATGTGATTTTTTACCATTGTAATGCTATAATAGCTATCTGATCTTATAAGGAATTTTTGCCAGTGAAACCGCTTTAAAAAGTAGTTAAATACATTAAAAAAAAGATTTTATAACTTTGTTTTGCAAATATTTCAAGGTTATTACATCAAAAATGGCAAAAAGGAGGGAAAATTCGAGGGGTGAGTTGACATGGGAAGTTAGTGTCCGAGCGGATCGAAGTCACGATAGTTGAAGTGGTAGAGCAGCGGCGTCTTTAGCCGAGGGTCGTGGGTTCGAATCCCGCTCGTGACACTGACTTTTTTATCTCGACCAATACCTTTCATAAATATTAATTAATTGAGAAAAGTTATTACATCATTCATATTCGGGTCGGTTTTTTGTTGTAAGAAAATAACAGAGCAGTGTAGTGTAAATTTTCGTAAACCAATTACGTGTAATATTTAATATTTACGATAACTAAGACAAATGTGTTTAAAAAAAATCTAGATACGAATTCGTATTATGGTTATAAAAATAACACAAAAACCGTAATAGATCAAACGAGTTTGGAGAAAATAACACCAAAAAAATGGAAACATTTTGGCATCTCGAAGAACAACTAAATGACCCTGCGAAAATTGCTGAAAGATGGTAAACTTCTCAAGTTTGATGCTCATACAAAAAACAAAGACTCTTCCCGAAATGAAACGCATACAAATTGTCAAATCCATCGAGTAGTAGTGGGCTTAAACGGAAAATAGGATAACAAACAGTTGTTCGTCTGAAAACTGTCGATACGCCCTTACTAAAATTATTATATACCCTACTAAAAATTACTTAAATTGGTTAACATATTTTTTTCGTGGCTCCTAGCGTCGAATGGCACGAACGCTTGAACACGTCTAATATTTTTCGACCAAGTATCAAAAAAAAAAATCTTCTTCTTGTTTGTTACCTAAAGGCATTGTTTATGGAAGAATATCATGTCTGTATATCATATTTTTTCAAGATTCACATTACAAAATAATACATAGATGTACATATCACCTTATATATACCAATTATATTTTACTACGTGTTCCAATACATGCCACTATTTTTCTATTCGTACAAATCCTTTTTTAATCAAAATTGAGAAAAAAGAATGTTTCTCTTCAGCACAACATACAGGCATGGATTTGACAGCGGTGCCAATAAAGTCTGAAAACCCCCAACAAATATTGAATGTGTTTTTAATAACAAATTACATTGACTCACATTGAAACCTCTCGTTTTATCGGGTAGTACGGACTAGAAGACTCCATGATGATTTTTGGCAACACTTGTCCAAAACCGACATAAAATAATTTATTTTTAGATACAGATACATATATTGATTGGGCAATTTAATTAAACATGTTTATTCTAATTAATAAAAATAACCCTTGCTTGTTCATTTGCTTGAAATATGGCTTATTTGTAATACCATTTCCCCCTATGACCTTATCACTATAGTTAAAGCGTTTTTTAGTCATTAGCCACCCTAAGAACTCCTCGAAAAAGTGGTATTCCGTGTCGTTGCCCCTTGGGAAAGAGCAGGACGTGTAATCTACGAAGGTCAATCGCCGAGGTCGGCGCAAAAAGCAAACTGCCGCAAGTGCAATCCGTTTTGGCCCTTTCCCACCCCGACGGCATCCCTCGCCCTCAACCCTCCCGCAAATCTCCCTTCCAGGCACTGAAATATTTACGACCTTTTAAACAAGAGTTTGCACTGTCGTTATTACCTTGTTTGACGCCGTCTCTCTCGGCTCCCCCTCGTCGATCTATTCCGTTAATTCTTATGTGTTTCAAAGATCGCCATTCTGTCTCAATTCAGAGGCTATTTCATTAATGAGAAGTTTATTCATTTTTTTAATATGAAACTAATTGGCTATGCACAATAAAATGAAGTCTAGAACGAGGGTTTCGCGGGTTTTTTTTCCACTTGCTATCAAATAAAATTGTAAGGGCTATGTCGGTATACAAAACCCAGAATTTCCAAAATTTGGAAATTTTCACATTAATTGTGGATAATGTGATTAATGTTATAATTCATATATAAAATGAGCCGATTTTATTAGTTGTTTTTTTTGTATGATTGATCGTATCAGAAAAAAATGCTTATATTCCTTGTAATTTAATTAAATATATTTTTATTTTAGGTTGTGAAAATTAGCTACGTAATTTAGTTCTGCATAAAAATAGAGTACAAAAAACGTTAGCCAAATATTAGCATAGTTAACTGAAAAAAAAAGGAAAACTGTATAAAGTTAACAGACCAACAAACTATTTCCAATCATAAAATAAATCAATCATAATAATCAATCATCATAAATAAATTTCGATTTATAACAGGTTGAAGTAGTGAGGAAAGTAACTATGTACTACTAATTTCATGTTATCAAGAAATGGGCTATTGCTACTAAGAGGCGGTAGTAGTTTGAAGGAGCATGGCTGGGTCATACATAAGGGGTGGGTGCGGTTGAAGCTTTTGTATGTCAGGAGGTGGCTGGCTTTGTAACACTGAAACAAAACTTTTTTCTGTCGATCTATTCGATTACCTCTCTAAAACCTCGTTTCTGGGGTAGTGCTAATTATTGGGTGGATATTAGGAAGTTGATTCCCAGGACCAAATGACGTTCGCGTGATATGATATAATCTTCTGTCAAACTTTTTCTGTTCTAAATACCCTTTTCACCTTACCTGAAATTACGCAACTGGACACTGGGACAAATCTGGCTAGTTTACCAGTTACGAGTGTTATTTGTACGATCTGCCATAATTACTTCCCTTAGAGCAGTGCTGCCCAGTACTGTCATATAGGAAATGTTTTGCTAGGTTGGAACCTGTATATTTTAAGCATATTAACCGAATACTTTACTTGAACGTCATTTAAGGATATC